CCAGTAGAGGGCGGGAGACCAAGAACCTGCTCCAGGAGCGGAACGAAGTACGGCCTCCGCCGCGCAGCGCCTCTAGAACCAGCAAGTACGGCACCAGTACCTCCAGCGGCAGCACCAGCGCCAGCAGAACCTCTAGCTCCAACAGCGCCAACTCCAGTACCCTCAGAAGCACCAGCGCCAGCAGCACCGCCAGCGCCAACACCCCCAGCAGCTCCAGCTCCAGCAGCACCAACTCCGGTAGGACCGTCAGCACCAGTAGAAACACCAGCGCCAACACCCCCAGACTCAGCAGCACGTCTCCAGCGCCGGGCGAACCACACGCGCAGCTCCTGTGGAGAGAGTGGCTCCCGCCTCGACAGAACATGGCGCGTGGTGGGGTGGTAAAACTGCCAGCCAGGCGCGTCAGGGGGGAAGCCAAGGAAGACGCAATGAACAGCACGGGGGGACAGCTTGTCCGCAGACAAGTCGCGGACAAACGCCCGAGATCCCCAGACCCGAAACGTAGACGCATTGCCAACCTTCCCTGTCCACCGCAAGGCGGGGGAGGTCTCTGGCAAGGAGACCCGGGGCTGAAGGTTGAGCTGATGCGCGGCGTACTGAACCGCAAACGGCCACAGAAAATGGGGGGCAACCGCATGCATCATGGACGTACGCGCGACGTCCATGACCATGCCAATGCGGTGCTCAGCAATCCCATTTTGCTGTGGAGAGTCTGGAAGCGTGAAGGTCTGGCGGATGCCCTGTGCCCGACAGAAGGATCCGAGACGGGCAGAGGAAAACTCCCCTCCTCTGTCCGAGTGCAGACGCAAAACAGGAAAGTCCGAGCCGAAACTCTCTCTGAGCAGGAGACGAGCTGCGTGGATCCATACGATTAACACCTCAGTGACGTCACCCTTGCTGCCCAAGGGGAAGACTGTGGTGTAACGCGAGTAGTCGTCAACGACCAGCAGAAAGTACCGCTCTCTCCCCTGCCCACTGACGCGGGCTAGGCCCCACACGTCCAGGTGTAGAGTCTGCAGCCGAGCCTCTGTCGGAGGAATCTCGGAGGAGTGAGGGGCGGCGCGCTGTCGCTCCTCGACGCAGGGGACGCAGGTAGGGCCAAGCCGCGGAGGAAGGGGAGGGAGAGACCGAGGAAGACCAGAGACAAGGACACGGGAGGCCATGCCTCGGAGACGAGGCAAGGAGGGGTGCCCAAGGCGTGGTGCCAAATGAGAGTCTGGTGGGACAGCAGACGACACGAGCAGGGGGCAGACTCAAGACCAGACCTGGACGCCGTAGCAAACACCTGACTCGACGCAGCTACTTGGGCAGACTCAGCAGTAGGAGGAGACTCAGCAGTAAGGGTGTACAGGCTCAACCCTGGCCGACGGGTGAACGTGGCCAAGTGTCGGCCTGTCCGAGCACACGTGCAGTGGGTCACTCGCTGACTCGCAGGAGTGAACTGGTCAACCCCTCGATCCTGTAGGTCTGCTCCACTCACCAAGTTCGTAGAGAACGAGGGGAGGTAGAGACCAGACAGGGTGCCAGAGGGGGCTGCAGGGGCACGGAAGGACAGTGGAGAAGCTAGCAAGGACAGGACCTCCAGAGGGGTCTGTTAGGGAGACTAAGCGGCGTAAGAGTGGTGCGGTCTCGAAAGAAGGAGCGGGACGCACCCGAGTCCAAGGTGAAGGTGTGGAAGGCCTGAGCCGACGTAGTACCTGAGAGAGCAGACTCACCAGCACCTGGGGCGGCAGACGCACTGGCACCTGGGGCAGCAGACGCACTAGCACCTAGAGCAGCAGTCTCACCAGCACCTAGCGCAGCAGCCTCAATGCCCGGGTCAGGCGGTACACACAGGTAACAGGCACCCTCAACACCATCAGCAACAGCATACATGGCAGCAAGAATAGCATCAAAGTCAAGATCAAAGATAGCAACCCCGGCCTTAGCCAGATCTCCCAGCAAGGGATCTCTGACACCTCAGGGAACTGGCGATGCCACGCGTCCGTCAGGCGACCATAGCGGCGCTGGGTGGAGTGCGGACCCCCGCACTGCTCACCAGTGCGGTCGCCGGTACAGAGAACGTAAGAGCAGGGACCAAAACCCTCACCGCGCTGGTGTGCAGTGTACCACTCACGAAGCTGCTGAGGGGACAGGGTCACACCACTCCGCTGCTGCTGCTGGCGCTAACCACCACCGGCGCCACTCCTCGACGCAGAGTCGCGACTCGCTCCACCACCGCCGCCTCCGCCGCCGCTGCCGCCTCCGCCGCCTCCGCCGCCTCCTCCACCGCCGCCTCCTCCACTACCTCCGCCGCCTCCGCTCCCTCCGCCACCTCCACCGCCTCTGCCGCCTCCACTGCTGCCGCCGCCGCCGCCACCCCCAGCACCACTCCCACCACCACCCCCACTCCCTCCACCGCCTCCACCACCACCTCCACCGCCCCCTCCACCTCCTCCAGTGCCCTTGCCCCCCCTTGCCCTTGCCGGTGCGGCGTCTCCCGCTCGGGGCAGACGCAGCGCCGACCGACTCGAAACCAACGAGGTCGGCCGCAGCAGCAGAGGCAACATAGGGCAAGAGGGGGGAGGGAGAACACCCCTCAAAGACGGGGGTGCGAGGGTCACCACGAGAGGCTCCTACAGTGACTATGCTCTTCTCTATCGCTAGGAGGGCCTTCTCAAGGAGGTCAACTGTGAGAGTGGTGGGGCAAACAGAGAGGAAGTGGTCCCTGACTACACGGAGAGAGTCAGGGAGACGGGTGACTATGTAGTAGAGGGTGATGTACATGGGGGGAGGGTTCTTGGCGCAGAACTCAGCAGGAAGCGCAGCGCGGTAGTGAGTGTCACTAGTGCGGAGGTGCGTAATGAGGTCAGCAACAGTGGGAATGGCAGCAAGGGCAGGGAAGAGGTACGGTAGCATGAGGCGGCTCAGTGCAGCAGTGGCAGGGGAAGAGTAGCGTGCAACTACAGCGTCGTACAAGGTCTGAGCACTCTTGTACTAGCTAAATTGTGCACGCTCAGTGGTCGGTAAGTGGCGGCGCACAGCAAGGCGAGCAGCAGCGTCACGTGTGGCCCACTGTGAGCGAACAGTGGCGTCAGCATCAGCAGCAGTGGCAGGGGAGGCACCAGATGTGAGGTCAAACAGGGAGAGGCCGTCTGCCCTATCGCACTGCAGGAAAAGCTGCAGATCATCTACCCAGACCTCAAAGTCCACTGCCCGACCCTCAGCGTCAAAGGTGAGAACGCTAGGGGAAGCCATAACAGCCAGAGGCAGGGCAATGCAGTGGCAGAGACTGTGCTCTTACCAGGTAGGTGGAGCGATCGGGCTGCTTGGCGGCTGGGCTGTCGGGCGACTCGGCTGCAGGGCGGCTCGGCTGCTGTGCGGCTCGGCTACTGGGCGGCTCGGCTGCTGGTGTGGGGCGGCTCGGCTGTCGGGCGGCTCGGCTGCTGGGCGGCTCGGCTGCTGGGCGGCTCGGCTGCACGGTGCTGGGCGGCTCGGCTGTCGGGGCGGCTCAGCTGCTGGGCGGCTCAGGAGGTCGGGCGGCTCAGGAGGCCGGCGGTTCGGCTGCTCGGCGTTGCGGGCGCTGGGAGGCGGGGTCGCAGGTGGTGGCGAGGTCGCAGGTGGCGGCGGGCCGCAAGGGTGGGCGGGGCCGCGGTGGCGACGGGGCCGAAGTGGGGCCTAAGTGGGGCCGTAGAGGGCCGACGGGGCCGAAGTGGGGCCGTAGCGGGGCCGCAGCGGGGCCTAAGCGGGGCCAAAGTGGGGCCGTAGCGGGGCCTAAGCGGGGCCGTAGCGGGGCCGTAGCGGGGCCGTAGCGGGGCCGACGGGGCCGACGGGGCCGTAGCGGGGCCGTAGCGGGGCCGTAGTGGGCCTAAGCGGGGCCGACGGGGCCGTAGCGGGGCCGTAGCGGGGCCGTAGCGGGGCCTAAGCGGGGCCGACGGGGCCGTAGCGGGGCCTAAGCGGGGCCGTAGCGGGGCCGACGGGGCCTAAGCGGGGCCGTAGCGGGGCCGACGGGGCCGACGGGGCCGTAGCGGGGCCGTAGCGGGGCCTAAGCGGGGCCGACGAGGCCGACGGGGCCGTAGCGGGGCCGTAGCGGGGCCGTAGCGGGGTCGACGGGGCCGTAGCGGGGCTGTAGCGGGGCCTAAGCGGGGCCGTAGCGGGGCCGACGGGGCCTAAGCGGGGCCGTAGCGAGGCCGTAGCGGCCTAAGCGAGGCCGTAGAAGGCGGCTCGAGGGGCAGTAAGGGCGGCCAATAGGGCCACTAAGGCGGCTCGAGGCGCTACTCGGGTTAGGAGCTAAGCGCGCTCCGGGCAGGGAAGGAAAAAAAAGTTCGTGGTGGGCCCTAGGTAGTATTCCCACTCGGGAACCTGCTCGATACCATGACGAGAAGTGAGAATGGAAAATGAATGAACTATGAAACAGTTGGGTACAAGTACTAACCCTAATTGGGTTGAACCCCTTATGGGCTACCCCACTACAGCCTACACAAATGTATAAGCTATAATGTTCTGACACCCCTGCCCACGGACGCGGGCGGGGCCCCACACGTCCATGTGGAGGGTCTGTAGCGGAGCCTCTGTCAGAGGAAACTCGGAGGAGTGAGGGGCGGCGCGCTGTCGCCCCTCGACGCAGGGGACGCAGGTAGGGCCAGGCCCTGGAGGTAGGGGAGGGAGAGACCGAGGGAGACCAGAGACAAGGACACGGGAGGCCATGCCTCGGAGACGAGGCAGGGAGGGGTGACCAAGGCGGTGGTGCCAGAGGAGAGTCTGGTGGGCCAGTAGACGACACGAGCAGGGAGCAGACTCAGGACCAGACTTGGACGCTGCAGCAAACACCTGACTCGACGCAGCTACCTGGCCAGACTCAACAGCCGGAGGAGACTCAGTAGTAAGGGTGTACAGGCTCGACCCTGGCCGACGGGTGAACGTGGCCAAGAGTCGGCCTGTCCGAGCACACGTGCAGTGGGTCACTCGCTGACTCGCAGGAGAGAACAGGTCAACCCCCTTATCCTGTAGGTCCGCTCCACTCACCAAGTTCGTAGAGAACGAGGGGAGTAGAGACCTGACAGGGTGCCAGAGGGGGCTGCCGGGCACGGTAAGACAATGGAGAAGCTAGCAAGGACAGGACCCCCAGAGGGGTCCGTCAGGGAGACTGCAACCGGCCGACTGAGCGGCGTAAGAGTGGTGCGGTCTTGATAGAAGAAGCAGGATGACCCCGAGTCAAGGGTGAAGGTGTGTAAGGCCTGAGCCGACGTAGTACCTGAGAGAGCAGACTCACCAGCACCTGGGGCAGCAGACGCACTAGCACCTGGGGTAGCAGACGCACTAGCACCTAGAGCAGCAGCCTCACCAGCACCTAGAGCAGTGGCCTCAATGCCCGGGTCAGGCGGTACACACAGGTAACAGTCACCCTCAACACTAGTAGTCACAGAATACATGGCAGCAAGGATAGCATCATAGTCAAGATCAAAGATGGCAACCCCCGCCCTAGACAGATCTCCCAAGCGAGGGATCTCTGACGCCTCAAGGAACTGGCGACGCCACGCGTCCGTCAGGCGACCGAAGCAGCGCTGAGTGGAGTGCGGGCCCCCGCACTGCTCACCAGCTCGGTCGCCAGTACGGAGGACGTAAGTGCAGGGACCAGTACCCCCACCGCGCTGACGCGCTGCGTACCACTCACGAAGCTGCTGAGGGGACAGGGTTACACCACTCCGCTGCGGCTGGCGCGGACCACCACCTGAGCCACTCCTCTGCGCAGAGTCGCGACCCGCTCCAGCACTGCCGCCGCCGCCGCCTCCGCCGCCTCCTCCACCTCCGCCTCCTCCGCCACCTCCGCCGCCTCCGCTCCCTCCGCCACCACCGCCGCCTCCTCCGCCTCCACTACTGCCGCCTCCGCCGCCACCCCCGCCACCACTCCTACCACCACCCCCACCCCCTCCACTGCCTCCACCACCACCTCCACCGCCCCCGCCAGCCCCTCCAGCGCCCTTGCCCCCTTTGCCCTTGCCAGTGCGGCGTCTCCCGCTAGGGGCAGACGCAGCGCCGACCGACTCGAAACCAACGGGGTCGGCCGCAGCAGCAGAAGCAACAGAGGGCAAGAGGGGGGAGGGGGAAACACCCCTCAAAGACGGGGGTGCGAGGGTCACCACGAGAGGCTCCTACAACGACTATGCTCTTCTCTGCTGCTAGGAGGCCCTTCTCGAGGAGGTCAACGGTGAGAGTGGTGGGGCAAACTGAGAGGAAGTGGTCCCTGTCTACGCGAAGAGAGTCAGGGAAGTCGGGTGACTATGTAGTAGAGGGTGATGTACATGGGGGGGGGGGGTTCTTGGCGAAGAACTTAGCAGGAAGCGCAGTGCGGGTAGCGAGTGTCACTAGTGCGGAGGTGCGTAATGAGGTCAGCGACTGTGGGAAAGGCAGCAAGGTCAGGGAAGAGGTACGGTAGCATGAGGCGGCTCAGTGCAGCAGTGGCAGGGGAAGAGTAGCGTGCAACTACAGCGTCGTACAAGGTCTGAGCACTCTTGTATTGGCTAAAGTGTGCACGCTCAGTGGTCGGTAAATGGCGACGCACAGCAAGGCGAGCAGCAGCATCGCGTGTGGCCCACTGTGAGCGAACAGTGCTGTCAGCAGTAGCAGGCGGGGCAGGAGAGACACCAGAGGTGAGATCGAACAGAGAGAGTCCGTCTGCCCTATCGCTCTGTAGAAACAGCTGGAGGTTATCGACCCAGACCTCAAAGTCAACGGCACGGCCCTCAGCATCAAAAGTAAGGACACTGGGGGTAGCCATGACTGCAGTGGCCTAGGAGGTAGTGAGCTCACCAGTCCGAGGAAGGAGGGCCAGGGCGCACCGGTAGGAACAGCAGCGGCTCGACAGTAGGGCGGCTCGGCGGCTCGGCGGCAGGGCGGCTCGGCTGCTGGGCGGCTCGGCTGCTGGGCGGCTCGGCGGCTGGGCGGCTCGGCTGCTGGGCGGCTCGGCGGCTCGGCGGCTCGGCTGCTGGGCGGCTGGTCTGCTGGGCAGCTCGGCTGCTCGGCGGCTCGGCTGCTGGGCGGCTTGGCTGCTGGGCGGCTTGGCTGCTGGGCGGCTCGGCTGCTGGCCAGTGGGCGGCTCGGCTGCTGGGTTGCTCGGCGGCTCGGTCGCTGGGCAGCTGAGCGGCGACAGGGCCGCTAGAGGAGGGCGGCGGGGCCGCAGGTGACGGCAATGGGGCCGCAGGTGGCGGCGACGGGGCCGCAGGTGGCGGCTGCGTGGCCGTAGGTGGCGGCGACAAGGCCGCAGGGGGCGGCAACGGGGCCGCAGGTGGCGGCGACGGGGCCGCAGGTGGCGGCGACGGGGCCGCAGGTGATGGCGACGGGGCCGCAGGTGGCGGCGACGGGGCCGCAGGTGGCGGCGACGGGGCCGCAGGTGACGGCGACGGGACCGCAAGTGGCGGCGACGGGGCCGTAGGTGGCGGCGACGGGGTCTCAGACGGGCCGCAGAGGGGCTGCAATGGGCCTAGACAGGGCCGCAGAGGGGGCCGCAAGGGGCCTAGACGGGGCCGAAGAGGGGCCGCAAGGGGCCGAAACGGGGCGGCAACGGGGCTGTAAGGGGCCAGAAAGGGCGCCGCGAGGGGCCGAAAGAGGGCCGCGCGAGGGCCATAAGGGCGGCGCGAGGGGCCGTAAGGGGCCGTAAGGGCGGCGCGAGGGGCCGTAGAGGGCGGCGTTAGGGGCCGTAAGGGCGGCGTAACGGGCCGTGAGAGGGGCCACTAAGGGCAGCGCAAAGGTAGGGAGGGCACACAGAGCGCGACTCGGGCAGGAGTGAAGCGCGCTCCGGGCAGGAAAAAAAATCGTGGTGGGCCCTAGGTAGCGTTCCCCTTTAGGGAACCTGCCCGATACCATGATAAGAAACGAGGAAGGAATGCATTGAGCAGAATGAGGAGTACAAATAGTAAACCCTAAAGTGTCGTACCCCATATGAACTGCCCCACTACAGCCTACACAGACTATAGCATATATGCCTGACAGAAACTTGACGGCGTGCCAACATTGCACCCGTAGGACAGCAGTGCACCTGCTTGGCAGGTGCTTGCAAATGATTGGGGTGTTGTGCCTCGTCACCTGCTCAATGCACACACCAAATCGTCCTCGTGCCGACGATTGCACCTGATCAGCCACGTCAACCTCGGGATACACACCGAGGTTGGCCTCGCCACGAACACCTGGGCAACCGTCGCAGTTCTCCGCAGATGCCCGTCGCCCAGGTCACCTGGTCGACCGGGCAACCACCTCGTCGACCGGCTCCTCCTCGTGCCCCGCGACCTCGTTGGTCGAGGACCACCTCAAGTCGATCAACTCCATGTCGACCACGCTCCTGGTCGACCAACTCCAGGTCGACTACGCTCCTGGTCGACCAACTCGAAGTCGACCAGCCCAGCTGCCAACCAACCACGCTAAGTCGGCTACCCCAAGTCTGCGTCCTCAAGTCGACGCCTCCGAGGTCGACCTCGCCCGATCGACCACCCACACTCGGCGCCCTCCGAAGTCGCCGCCCTTGCACTGACCCCTGTACAGGGCGACCAGCCCTGTCGACCAGCTCGCCCACTGCTATAGGTCGGCTGCACCTTCCACACACCCGACCACGAGGTCGGCTCCGCCCAAGCGAGGACGGGGCCTAACACAATTCCCATTGACATTAGTCTTAGTACCACTCATAGTAACGCACATACTTTTAGTACCACTCATATGGCTAAGTAATGCACATACTCTTACTACCAGATATATCGTTAAATATTGCTTTTACTCTTAGATCCACTGATATCATTAAATAACGCACTTACTTTTACTACCACTCGTATCACCGTGTAATGCACTTACTCTTAGTACCATGCATATAGCTTAGAACGCATTTACTCTTAGTACCACTCATATGGCTAAGTAACGCACTTACTCTTAGTACCACTCGTATGGCTAACAAACGCATATACTTTTAGTACCACTCATATAGCTAAGTAACAGACATATTTTTAGTGCCACTCATTTGGCTAAGTTACGCACCTAGACTTTGACAAAGTTTAAGGAAGAAAGAGAGATTGAACTAGCAGGAATGAGGATACAAATAGCAAAACCCTAGAAGGGTTGTACTCGCTATAGAGCACCCCACTACAGGCTAGAACATAAGATAATATTCTGACAGACTTAGTACCACTCATACAGCTAGGTAACGCACTTACTCTTTGTGCCACTCATATTGTATTGTAACGTGCTTATTCTTAGTACCGCTCATATGGCTAAGTAACGCACTTAATGTTAGTACAACTCATACGGCTATGGTAACGCACTTACACCTAATACCACTCATAAGGCTAAGTAACGCACTTACTCTTAGTGCAGCTCATATTGTTAAGTAACGCACTTACTCTTAGTACCACTCATATGGCTAAGTAACTCACTTACTCTTAGTACCACTCATATGGCTAAATAACGCACTTACTTTGAGTACCACTTGTGTTGCTTAGTGACGCACTTACTCTTAGTACCACTCATATGGCTAAGTATCGCACATAGTCTTAGTGCCACTCATATAGCTCAGTAACTCACTTACTGTTGCTATTATTCGTTTGGCTAAGTAGCGCACATACTTTTAGTACCACTCATATGGCTAAGTTACCCTCCAAGCCTTCCTTAGTACCACTCGTATGGCTATATAACGCACTTATTCTTAGTACGATTCATACGGCTAACTAACGCTCTTACTCTTAATACTACTCATACAGCTAAGTAACCCCCTTACTCTTAGTGCAACATATATTGTTAAGTAACTCACTTACTTTTAGTACCACTCGTATGGCTAAATAACGCACTTACTCTAAGTACCACATGTGTTGCTTGGTGATGGGCTTACTTTTAGTACCACGCATATGACTAAGTAACGCATTGACTTTTAGTATCACACATACGGCTAAGTAAGACACAACTCTTAGTACTACTCATATCGTTAAGTAATGACTTACTCTTAGTAGCACTCATATGTCTGAGTAACGCACTTACTCTCAGTACCAATTATACAGCTCAGTAACTTGCTTACTGTTGCTACCATTCGTATGGCTAAATAGCGTACATACTTTTAGTACCACTCATATGGCTAAGTTACGCACATAATCTAAGTACCACTCATGTGGCTAAGTAACACACTTGCACTTAGTACCACTCATACAGCTAAATGATGCACGAACTCTTAGTACCACTTATACGGCTAAGCAACCCACTTACTTTTAGAACCGCTCATATGGCTAAGTGACACACTTACTCTTTGTACCACTCATATGGCTAACTGACACATTAAAATTTAGTAATACACATATGGCTAAGCAATGCACATAGTCTTAGTAGCACGCATGTCGCTAAGTAACGCACTCCACTCACATATCTAAGTAACGCGCTTACTCTTAGTACCACTCAAATCGTTAAGTAACGCACTTACTCTTAGTACTAGTCATACGGCTAAGCAATGCACTTACTACTAGTACCATGTATAATGCTTAGATGCACTCTTACTATCACTCATATTGTTTAGTAACGTACATACTTCTAGTACTATTCAAACAGCTAAGTAACGTGCTTGGTCCTAGTACCAGTCATATAGCTAAGTATTGCACTTACTATTTGTACCACTCATATCGCTAAGTAACGCACTGTGAGAACATTATAGCTTATACATTTGTGTAGGCTGTAGTGGGGTAGCCCATAAGGGGTACAACCCAATTAGGGTTAGTACTTATACCCAACTGTTTCATAGTTCAATCATTCTCGTTCTAATGTTCACATGGTATAGAGCAGGTTCCCCCGTGGGAACTGTTCCTAGGGCCCACCGACCTTTTTTTTCCTGCCCGGAGCGCGCTTGGCCCCTGCCCAAGTCGCGCCCCGTGTGACTCCCCTTCGTGGCCTCTAGCGGCCTCCCTCACGGCCCCTAGTGGCCCCCGTCGCGCCGTCCTCACGGCCCCGTCGCGCCGCCCTTGCGGCCCTCTTCGCACCGCCCTTGCGGCCCCTTTCCGCGGCCCCGTCGCCGCCCTTTCAGCGACCCCGTCGCCGCCCTTTCCGCGGCCCCATCGCCGCCCTTTCAGCGGCCCCGTCGCCGCCCTTCCACGGCCTCGCCGCCCGCCCTTGCAGCGGCCCCGTCGCCGCCCTTCCACGGCCCCGACGCCGCCCTTCCGCGGCCCCGTCGCCGCCCCTCCGCGGCCCCGACGCCGCCCTTCCACGGCCCTGTCGCCGCCCTCCAGCGGCCCCTTCGCCGCCCGTCCGCGGCCCCGTCGCCGCCCTTTCAGCGGCCCCGTCGCCGCCCTTTCAGCGGCCCCGTCGCCGCCCGCCCTTTCAGCGGCCCCATCGCCGCCCTTCCGCGGCCCCGTCGCCGCCCTTCAGCGGCCCAGTCGCCACCCTTCCGCAGCCCCGTCGCCGCCCTTTCAGCGGCCAGTCGCCGCCCTTTCAACGGCCCGTCGCCGCCCTTTCAGCGGCCCCGTCGCCGCCCTTCCGCGGCCCCGTCGCCACTCAGCCGCCCAGCGCCAGAGCCGCCGAACCGCCCAGCCGCCGAGCAACCGAGCCGCCGAGCAGCCGAGCCGCCGAGCAGCCGAGCCACCGAGCAGTCGAGCCGCCGAGCAGCCGAGCCGCCCTGCAGCCGAGCCGCCCGACCGCCGAGCCGCCCTGCAGCCGAGCCACCCGACCGCCGAGCCGCCCAGCAGCCGAGCCGCCGAGCCGCACCGCAGCCGAGGCGCTGCCGCCTGTCGGCCTGCCCGGGACCGCCCCACTTGCCTGGTAAGAGCAGCGCCTCTACCACTTCACTGCCCTGCCCCACTGTACTCAATGCCTGTCGAATGCTGTCATGGCCTCCCCTAGTGTTCTCACCTTTGACGCTGAGGGTCGGGCAGTTGACTTTGAGGTCTGGGTAGATGATCTGCAACTTTTCCTACAGTGCGATAGGGCAGACGGGCTCTCCTTGTTTGACCTCACTTTTGGTGCCTCTCCTGCCCCTGCTGCTGATGCTGACGCCACTGTTCGCTCACAGTGGGCCACGCGTGATGCCTGCTGCTCGCCTTGCTGTGCGCCGCCACTTACCGACCACTGAGCGTGCACACTTTAGCCAGTACAAGAGTGCTCAGACCTTGTACGACGCTGTAGTTGCACGCTACTCTTCCCCTGCCACTGCTGCACTGAGCTGCCTCATGCTACCATACCTCTTCCCTGACCTCGCTGCCTTTCCCACAGTCGCTGACCTCATTACGCACCGACGCACTAGTGACACTTGCTACCGCACTGCGCTTCCTGCTGAGTTCTGCGCCAAGAACCCCCCCCCCCCCCCCATGTACATCACCCTCTACTACATAGTCACCCGGCTCCCTCACTCTCTCCGCGTAGTCAGGGACCACTTCCTCTCAGTTTGCCCCACCACTCTCACCGTTGACCTCCTCGAGAAGGCCCTCCTAGCAGCAGAGACGAGTATAGTCGCTGTAGGAGGCTCTCGTGGTGACCCTCGCACCCCCATCTTTGAGGGGTGTTCTCCCTCCCCCCGATTGCCCTCTATTTGCCTCTGCTGCTGCGGCCGACCTCGTTGGTTTCGAGTCGGTCGGCGCTGCGTCTGCCCCGAGCGGGAGACGCCGCACCGGCAAGGGCAAGGGGGGCAAGGGCACTAGAGGGGCTGGCGGGGGCGGTGGAGGTGGTGGTGGAGGCAGTGGAGGGAGTGGGGGTGGTGGTGGGAGTGGTGCCGGGGGTGGTGGCGGCGGCGGCAGCAGTGGAGGCGGCGGAGGCGGCGGTGGTGGCGGAGGGAGCGGAGGCGGCGGAGGTGACGGAGGAGGCGGAGGTGGAGGAGGCTGCGGAGGCGGCGGCTGGCGGCGGAGGCGATGGTGGAGCGGGTCGCGACTCTGCGCAGAGGAGTGGCTCAGGTGGTGGTCCGCGCCAGCAGCAGTGGAGTGGTGTGACCCTGTCCCCTCAGCAGCTTCGTGAGTGGTACACTGCGCGCCAGCGCGGTGGGGAGTTTTGGTCCCTGCACTTACGTCCTCCGTACCGGTGACCGAGCTGGTGAGCAGTGCGGGGGCTCGCACTCCACCCAGCGCTGCTTCGGTCGCCTGACGGATGCGTGGCGTCGCCAGTTCCCTGAGGCGTCAGAGATCCCTCGCTGGGGAGATCTGTCTAGGGCGGGGGTTGCCGTCTTTGATCTTGACTATGATGCTATCCTTGGTGCCATGTATTCTGTGACTTCTAGTGTTGAGGGTGACTTTTACCTTGTGTGTACCGCCTGACCCGGGCATTGAGGCCACTGCTCTAGGTGCTGGTGAGGCTGCAGCTCTAGGTGCTAGTGTGTCTACTGCCCCAGGTGCCAGTGCGTCTGCTGTCCCAGGTGCCAGTGCGTCTGCTGCCCCAAGTGCTGGTGAGTCTGCCCTCTCAGGTACTACGTCGGCTCAGGCCTTCCACACCTTCACCCTTGACTCGGGTGCGTCCCGCTCCTTCTTTTGAGACCGCACCACTCTTACGCCGCTCAGTCGCCGGTTGCAGTCTCCCTGGCAGACCCCTCTGGGGGTCCTGTCCTTGCTAGCTTCTCCACTGTCTTACCGTGCGCGGCAGCCCCCTCTGGCACCCTGTCAGGTCTCTACCTTCCCTCATTCTCTACGAACTTGGTGAGTGGAGCGGACCTACAAGATAGGGGGGTTGACCAGTTCACTCCTGCGAGTCAGCGAGTGACCCACTGCACGTGTGCCCGGACAGGCCAACACTTGGCCACGTTCACTCGTCGGCCAGGGTCGAGCCTGTACACCCTTACTACTGAGTCTCCTCCGGCTGTTGAGTCTGGCCAGGTAGCTGCGTCGAGTCAGGTGTTTGCTGCAGCGTCTAGGTCTGGTCCT